AGAAATAGATGTAATGTTTGATGTAATGTTTTAATCCTGATTAAATGAGAGTAATGTGACTTCAGTGCTAGTTTTCGGTCTGTGACATTTTCACAAATTAAGAGCTCAACCACAAATGAAGTGGTACTTATAGAACCAGACATCCAGATATCAAGAATAAATTCAAAACAGAAGATTGTACCATACTCTTTGATCAGATACTATATTTTGGTCCATATAGCTAGCGAAACATTTAATTATACCTAATTAGAAGAAAATTTGACAATATCAGCAATAACACCCTGAAATCATTGTAACTATACAACCATTTATTGTGCATTTTCCCATTCAGCAAAAGCTCCTTAGGTCTTTGCTTTGGAGGTAAAATCTTGTCCACTGAACAATGAGACATAGAGCCTCAGGAAGGAGTATGTGACTCCAAGTGCACAGTACAGAGAGGTGAGCATCAGTGGGATGAATGGCAAGGTCTGCTGCCAGAGCGTTAAAGGATAGACAAACTCACACAAAATCTCAAGAGGAACAAAGCCAATGAGGTACGCAGATTCCACACTATTGATCAAGGGTCCTGTTGCTCTGGAAAAGAAAACGTCATAAAATAATCACCAACGCAATTTTTATATGATCACTTTAATGAATGCTTTTTACAACAGAAATGAATGTGGAGCATGGCTTAGTCATAATGCAAATTGTCCCCCCCTCCAAAACCAATGAAGTCAGAACAGTTTACTAACCTGAACAGCATTCTCAGTGAAGTGAAGCTGTATATCGTAAAAAGCAGCATGAGAAGAATTTTGATGGGCAATTCTGCAAAACAAGATTGCAGCATATTGATTAATTTTCTTATATGCATAGATCATACACATTATTTACATTTGTATAGATCCCAAAACTTGCATTAAATTTTGCAATTAGGAGGAAATTAGGTAAATATTTAGTGAGGAAAAACACTTACCTGGGGTAGTAAACAGTAGCGGAAACAGAGAGAAATTAGCTGTTGTCGCTAAGATTAGGAATATTCCTGCATCCCTTTGGTTTTCCACTGCTAACAAACTGTAAAAAACAACATCATCTGTTCTAAGAAAATTATTGGATTCAAACTGAAACCAAGGCTGCATGGTATATGTCAGATACCTTAAGGGGAGTACTGCCATCAGGATAGCTTTTTCATGCACATGCCAACCAAACATGAAGGATCCCATGGCACAGATGATAATGCATCGCAGGAATGCCCGGGCCCCTGTTGGCCTGAGCCAGATGTGCAGAATGGCAGGCTTTTGGAAACAGGCATTTCAAATTTAGTGACAAAATTATTTGCAAATACATATATTACACTTAAACACATCTATATATAAAATATAAGGATACAGGAATAAAATGAATACAATACGCTAACAGGCTAAAATAAATAAGTGACTTACAAGTACTGATATCAGGGTACATATCAGTGTAGCTAAAGGGGACACAGAGGGCAGTACTGAGTGGCGAAACTCCTGCACAAGGCCTCCTGTCATTGAGGCTTTGGGAAGCCTCTGCATATCAAGCAGTTTCAATTTCACACCTGCAATAAAAAGAACAATAAAAAAAAATCAGTGAATGCATTGCATGCTGGTATTTTATTTCTCCAGTTTAGTTATTATATTGATAATGAAAGGTCCCTACCCAAGATGGCGAGAGCTTTATCGGCAGCGTTATACAGAGCCCAGAAGTTGGGTGCCCAGTAGGCGTGACACAGCCCCCGTTTAAAGGGAAAGAGTCTGGACACAACTTGAGGAAACTGGCCCTAGAAAAAGATGGTCATTAAAGCAAACGTTAAAGGTTTTATTTAAAGCAGGGCTGTTCAAATCAAAGGCCGAGCCCTGCTGATTTTCCAACCTTACTTTACCTGTAAGACAGGTGTGAAGTCTCTGGCCAATCAGAATCAGTAATTATTAAAGCAACTACCTGGGAAAACTGGCCAGAATCGAAGAGCCCTGATTTAAAGGATTTTTTTATGTAAGAAATAAAGTTGTGTGTAAATATTTGGGATATAATCCATATTAATACAATACCTTGGAATAAGAAAGTTAAACAATGTAAAAATACAATAAATTATTTGAAATACTTAAGACACTTATGATTATGTTTTATTAAGGCTGTCTCAGTATATTCAAAATATGTATAACTGAACACTTACCAAAGCAATAAATGGCCCAAAAGAAACCGCAAACACTGAACATACAATCACTGCCAATTCCAGTAATCGAACAATGCTGAAATTCCTCCATTTTATAGATCTGTCTAAAAAAAGAAGAAATGATAATGCTCCACAATTTAAAAAAAAAACTATTCTATAAAGACTTATCACAATGAAGAATTGGGGTGTTTTTTGTACTACAGCTTTTCACATTTACTTTTAATTTCAAATATTCATATTTTAATATATCACCTGGACTGTCCTGAATGAAGCAAAAGGATCTCAGTAAATAGATGCCATATGCAGGTGCGATGTACAGATAAATGTGCTTCAGATTTAGGAGCACAGAAAATAGAAAGGCTCCTTCCAGGTGTCTTCCCTGTTAAAAACAATAAAAAGCAAAATATGTTTCATGTAAATATAACTTCTTACATTATGTTATAATGCTTATAATATTTTTAGCATTGTATTAATATTATTACATAAGACATTTTTGTATCTAAAATTCAATTTTTAAATCATGGGTCTGTTTCATTTTAAGAATAAATCAGCTTTTATACCTGAAAGTGTCTTGCCACTGAAAGAAGCAGAATACCAAACAGAAATCCATTGTACTGAAAATGGATATCTAAAAGCGTTAAGAAAAACAGCTGCAAATTGCAGCCGGCAATTTCACATTACAGATCTGCTCTCATGTTGAGAACTCAGAAAATGCTACAGTGTAACTAATTAAATCTGTAAAAAAAAAAATTAAAGAAAAGCCCATATACAGCCTAAGGATACGATCAACAATCAGAAGTCCAAAGTTCCACAGCAGCAGCACTGCCAGGACGAAGCGGGGATTCTCCAATGTGATCTTGGTCCCTTTTTTATCTTGCACACATTTACAGCACCTGAGAAACACAAAGATGAGTGCATTCTCCCAAAACTGTATAATTTTCGTTATCAAATTTATAAAACATCCGCAATAAGAGTTAAAATTTGCCATGCAAATTCTGATTCTTTACGTTGCTACTTTTAAAATATTTCCTGGGTTTTCATACTGAACTGCATATTTAATTTTAATGAAGGAATCTTAAACTATTTTTAACAAGTAAATTGTACTGCAAATTTTGCTGAGCATTGCACTAATCACTAACAAATATTTTGGATTAAATAGCTACTTAATAAAATCTCTTACTATTAACATTTGCGACTTGAAAAGTATTCTCTTACACTACTTTGCAACCAGACCAGTAAAGATAGGAAACTTTTGGAATTGAATACTGAAAATACTCACTCTTTTACAGCATAAATAAAGACAAGATCAGTAAAAATGACAGACAACCTTTGGAAAAGAACCGTAGCTGGACTTGCATGGTTCAGATTCTGTAAAACCAGCATCTTATTGTCAAAATATTTTGCTATATGAGACAGTCCATATTCAAACCAGGCAAACAAAGGAGGGTAATCAAGCGTCCACTCTGAGTATTCCTGAAAAAAATGAATGAATGAAGATCTTTATTCAAATATACATGATAAAACCAAATTTACTGACAAACATATATTATATATTATATACTGACAAGCAGTAGATATATTGTAAGATGGGGGTCGTCCAGGGATATCTGAATACCTATTAATTTCTTTATTACTGATTGAGATTTAGATATGGTTACTATTTGAATGCAGTTTAGGACTTGCATAGGATACATCAGAATAATAGAAAAATGTTACGTTTTTCGTTTTAGAATCCAGTACTATAAAGTCAAACTCACATACCTCAAAATACCACTTTGAAACAGGTAAACTGTGGGTGATAGCAAGCCAGTTTCTGTGCACCTCGAAATCAGTGGAATGACTGAAAAGTACAAAAACTGATCATGGAAAAACATCCAACACACATGTACTTAGACAAACTGTCATAGAGAGCAGAAAAGTACAGCCCGCCATGAGAAATTATGTGTATTTATTTTTGCTTTTTTAATTTAAATTGTTATATTAGTTTTTGTATGTTGGCATATGCATCTTGCGGGTTCAGGTTAAAATTCACGTCTGTACCTCGGTAACTTACTATGTATTTATCAACAGACATTTTAGAAGGGAAACTCCAATTGCCAAGGCAGAGAACCAACTACAAAACTCCTTTTTCTGAACCGCCATATTCGTGGGAGAGAAAAAAGAACGAATCTAACTAAAATAAACGTCAAGCAGCATCGTTTTCCGAATAGGAAGATGCCCTGCATACAGCCCGCATCTATGGAGAGCCAATAGGGCCAAAAGGCTTTAAGTTTTTTACGCGTTTGTAAATGAAACATTGTGTATAATCTCTAAGGATTTCGATCGGGTTTCCATCCTTCCATGCCCAGCGAAGTGCGTTCCCCCATTGAGATAAGCCCATATAGTGTCAGTGACAGTGATATTCGTATGTTTTAGATCTGGAAGCTGTTATTTAAACACAATGTAAAACGATTTCATAGCATAGCAACAACCCACGCAGGTCGCCTGCTGCGCAAATGACTCCTAAAGACAAGACCAGCAGCATGTTCTTGTGAAGGACCCGGATGAATCTGTATGTTTTTTGTATAACTTTGGCAAAGCAGTTCGGGCAAGAACAATTAATGCGATCATTCCTGAAATCGGAGTAGTTATGTGTGCTATATGGCTTCTGCAACCATGAGGTGTATACGCAGTCTAAGTTTATTTAGTCCAAGAAGAACTTTCTTAAACAAATCCTCGATCATAAACCATGCAAGGCTGAATAATGTGAAAGGTAGGGACATTGGTTTTGTATCCACCCTTACACTAATAACTTAAAATAATTTTAAGACAACAATGCCTAGAACTTTATAGTTGTTTAACCTTATCTAACAAATGCTGGAACCTTAGTGACGACAGTTATCTGGACGGACTGGACTGGATCGATTTAAGCCCCGATCAAGCAGTTGTCCTTTGTGACTACGCAAATATCGTGTTAATGTTGCATTTTTTTGTCGGCTGCCTTTTCATCACCACCAGCGCTGATCTGGGATTTAAATTCGGCCCAAGACTTTGGGGTCCCCAGCGACCCCAACGTAAATGAGGGTGGTCACGCCTAATAACTTCTTGCCGGGCGACATGGGAGGCACAGTACATTTTGTCGGCCCACATACATATCGTGCCGCCGGAGAAACGCCGGGAATGCTGGGTGGCCGGTCATGCCCTGACTACTGACGTGTGCCTGGTAACCTTGGTTTCGTACGCTGATATTGTGCGTTGCCGTATTGCTCCGGTAGGTGTCACTGATGGTCTTGGATTCGCCGTGCAGAGTGTTACGTTTTCCGCAATTTCCGCTCCCAAACCGTTAGATTGTAAACACTCTTATACTTCGCCATGCACTTCGGCTTGGTTTTTATTTTTAAAAAAAGCACTGTATTCGTTCATATAATGTTTAACTATTGTACTGGATATTTGTACAATATCTTGATGAAGCAGAACATTTTGTCTGTGCTATGTGCACTGCAATTATTTTTCTGTGGAAAAATAAGTAGGCCTACATGCCTAACTCGAACAGCTCCCTTTGCGAAAATAACACCACATAGTTGATAATGATATTTGATTGCTCGTGCTGTGCTCATGTACGCAGCCCACTTGATAAATAATACCCCAGTACTTATTTTCAAACCACTTTTATTTTTCAGAAATTGCTTCAGTGTTTAGCGTCATCAGGGGTGCTGCAAGAGATTTTGGGCCCCATGAAATCGTATAATTTTGAACCCAGACCAGTCCAATTATGTTTGAAAATTACGGCACCCCCGATGGTCATTGTCCATTTACAGTTCAGCTTAAAAGCCTTTGAACAGATGAAATGGCATCCTTCTCACATACTGTATGCTACCATGTGGGATTTATGGACAGCTGTATGATGGCTAGTTGCTCAGGCCCTGAGGCAGCAAAACCTCCCCAAACGTAATGCTTCCAGGATCATTCTTTTCAGTTGGTATACGTTTTTTGTTATAAGGTGACATCTGGCATTGTGGCTGAAGAACCACACCTTCCACTCATTTGTCCAATAGTCCTGTTCTTCACATGGGTACTATGCAGGTCTGCCAGGCTTCTCTTTCAGCGTAGCTGTTTATCTTTTGTGACAAACGTCTACTTTGTGTGTAAGGCCTATGTGCTTATGTCGCCTTCATTTTTGCATCAGGGTTTCACAGAGTTGCAGCTCTCAGCACCTATGATATGAGGAAAGTTGAGCTGACTCCTTTGGAGCAGCGGAAATTGACGTTCGACACCCACGCTCTAGTAAAAGAACTGGAAGCTAACGGTAAGAGTCTTTGCTTTGTCCTTCATTCAACAAACAAAATTACGTTTTAAATGAGTACGGCACAAAAAAACACATTTCAACTAGTCTTTAGGCTTCACCAGCTGATACTTTGGAAACTCCGTATCAGTGCTCATACTGTATTGTGGCCCTTTCGTGCCAATATATTTTAATGCTGATACAGTAAAATCCCGTTATAACGGACTTTAAGGGATCTGGCGAAACAGTCCGTTATATCCAGAGTTGTTGTATGCCCAGAACACAACTACAGGACAACATTTACTCATGCCACACCCCAGCAGACACACTTGTGGTATAGATTATTATATTGTACATGTAGTAATCCAACTTTACCTGACCAGATGCGTCAGTATTAATAATCCCGACTACGTACGTATCTGCGCTGGATATCACCGGTGTTCCGGGCAATTCGGTTTCCCTATGTTTCCCCTGTCTATCAGGAAATAATGTTTCCCCTAATATTAAGCAAAGGGGTATGTGAAATGTCTGAAAATCACTCAGGTACATTATTACATGTGAATACAGTAGATCGTCACGCATAATATAGTCTTATAAGCAATACTATACCGTTTTCATCAAGAAATATGTCTGTCCAGCGAATTAAATACTTTCATTTACTATCTATAAAAACAAAAAACATCTTAAAGGCGTGTGATGTTTTAAAATATATGGCTTGTTTACCTCAAGAGCTTCGTAAAAAGACATGAAAACAACAGCGAAACCGTGTACAAATCAGCGCGACAGGGGAAACATAGGGAAACTGAATTGCCCGGAACACCGGGACCAGCGGGCCTCGTCCGTTATAGACAATATTTCGTTGTAAGAGAGTCCATTATAACGGGATTTTACTGTAGTAACAGTATTTTCGGTATCGCAATGCTTTACCCTAAAATCCGTATTATAACTCGATTATATTGAAGTTCAAAAATATGTTGCGTCTCTCTGATTCTTTAAATATTCTGCTTTAGGGTTTGAAAAAGGACAAGCGGAAGTGATTGTGACGGCACTGGTGACACTTACTACCGCCAATATGGACATTGTGTACAGGGACATGGTGACTGGCACCCATCAGGTATATTTCTTATAAGATTCAAATCACCACGTGCTTTATATGAATGTCAGATAAACTGTGCGGTGCAGAAAGTAAGATGTTTATACTTTTTCATGTGTAGGAAATAGCTCTTCAGCAGATCATGGCTCATCTTGACTCTATAAGAAAGGACATGGTGATTCTGGAGAAGAGTGAGTTTGCTAACCTACGTTCCGAAAATGAGGTAAATAAAACATATCAGAGTAACGCCTTAATTGCCTTTCTAATCCGTTTCAAGCAGCAGAATAACCAGCAGCTGTTCTTTCATGTGTTCTTCTGTTTCATTATTATAACTAGTAATGAGAAACCTGACAGTAACTACAGTAACATGAAAAGCAGTTGTAAGACTGATAGGTGGATATTTACTTTGAACCCTGATCTTCACCAGGAGAAATGGAATGAAGATTGATGAATGGATGGATGTTTACTTCTGTGCTTTGATTTAATTAATGTGAATTATTTTTCCTTTTCAGAAAATGAAAACGGAACTTGAACAAATCAAGAGAAGGCTCATAGTAAGTTAATCTTGGCACTTAATTAACCATGAGTATCTACTAACAGTGAGTTACCACACAATTCAGCGCCTGCTAGGACAGCCCCAAACCTTTGCTCTGTGCATATATACAAGCATACATACTGAGCCAGTCAGTCCTACGGCCGACAAAGGCGGCTTTGTAAACACACGCAAGGATTTTATTGTGCATTTGTTTTTAAAAATGAATTTGTATATTTTACAGGAAGAGAGTCAAAAAATCAGAGCTGATGCGAAACTGGACATAAATCTGGAAAGAAGCAGAGTTACAGACATGGTGAATATTACATTTCCGTAAACTGCTCCCTTTACAGTACATTTACGTATTGCATTATCATACTAAACCAGTAGATGTTTTGTCTGTATTTTGCCTTATATTTTACATGATCTTTTTCAGTTTACCGAGCAAGATAAGAAGCTTATGGAAGTTAGTACAGAATTCCACAAAAAGGTTTGATAATTGCATTTCACTGACTCTGAAAGAGCTTTTTATTCTGTCATTGATTGTGATTTAAATATGGGAACGCATTCTTGATTTTAAAATTAATATTTTCTTATAAATATTTCCAGAATGCGGACATTGACCGTGGCACAATGGAAACAACTAGGAAAATTGACTTAGAGGTGGCCTCATTGAAAACACTCCTAGAGTCTCTTAAGCTTGACACTATTCGGTATCTTGCAGGTAAGCAATAATTGCTGAACTTTTGAAAGCCTGTCTGCTTATTTTTTGGGGGTTTTTGGGGTTAAAAATGGCTGACTACTTAGTAAAGATATACAATTGTCCAAGTATTTATGTTGCGTGATATTTTCTTTTCTAAATTTTTGTTTCACTATATGTACATTTTCTCTCTGTTCTTTTAGCTTCAGTGTTCTCCTGCTTAGCAATTGCCTTAGGTTTTTACCGTCTCTGGAAGTAGGACTCAATCATCAAATGGTGACACATATTTAAGGACCAGAAAAAACAACGACCGTGAAGACTGAATGTGAGAAAAGTATTTGCATAATACAAATTTTGCACCATTGTTTAGTTTATCTTCAGTTTTTGTATTTATCAATATAATGTAGATACTGCCAGACCTCTTTCATTGTTAACTGATGTTGCTTATGTGCCTTAGAACTATTTTGTTCCTTCAAAAATGGTTTTAAAATCAATGGCATCTGTATAAACCAATAAATGACTGGATGCTGGGTTCATTTTATTGATAGAGCTTAATTTTCCTTCTTAGATTGCAGGTGTCACCCCACTTTCAGATCTAAAACTTAGGAGAGCTTAAAAACCGCCAAACTGGTAACACTGGAAGAACACCTCACAAATTTAAGGTTTCAAATGTCAAAAGAAAAGAAAATCAGAGCTCAAAACATAACCTCCCACTTCATATCTAAATTTAATTACATAAAAAAACACCCTGAAACCCAAAGGAACCCCAAAAAGAGCATTCAAAGTCCAGTCATGCATAGCAGAGGGGGGGGATTTTAACTCCAGACCTTGGAGGTATGATACAGTATGGTCAATAGTTACATATTAAAATGCAAATACCATCATCTTAAAGCATTATTATAAGGAGTGAGTTTAACCAGCGGGTGGTAAGTAGGGCAAGATTATTAGACCTCTGAATTTCATTTGCCTTATTGCCAATTGTTACAAAATGCTGACCTAATCAATGCTAGAGGTGTATCAATGCAAGATTTCATTCAGATATTTATCCTACTTAACACTTTCCAAAAGTGAAATGCTGGCATATTTTCACTGTTGGATGCTAATAACAAATTATTGACATTTTAGTATGCATACATGACTGTACATGTGATTTTTTTTTTTTTGTTTTTTGGTAAGATAGTGATGTCAGTGTTCAGTGAAACACATGGGTGATCAGGCGCCGCTGGTTGGGCTGTGGAGGACACTAGGTCCCTGTGGTGTTTCTTTCTGCCCCACGTTCGGGAGCATTCTGGAAAGTTAGCTGCATTTCTGGTCAAGAACTCTTTGGCAAGACTGTTCGCGATTGTAACCCTGCACCACTGCCTGTTCCCGCAGTCACTCTTTCGCTCCATTGCTGCCACTTGCTGTTCCCTGACCGCTTACTGCTTCTTCAGGACTTTGCGGAGTAGTTCATGATGTTCCTGGACATTTCAGTCCCACATGCTACACAAAATGTGAGCCTTAACTATATGTAAGGTGCCAAGTAGATGTTTCACTGATTCTACTTCCCAAATAGCTACTTTATGCTTAATAAATGTAAAAAATATTTGTGTGAAATAAAATCAATGTTTAAATATATTCGCTGCCTTCCTGTTGACTTAAGTGTACTTCGCACATCTATTGACCTAATTACAGCCATACTAATATAGCAAAGCGGTGCTGTAACACTTCTTATGGATGTTGGTGATTGATTGGATGCCCCATGGAAATGATGCTTTGTATGTGTACAATAAAGTTTTTATCATTTCTCACCGGCTTTATTAATGGAAAAGATGTTTCTCAGTAATGCTTGGACTGTGTCTGATACTGTAAACTGGATGATTTATCACGCTTCAGTCACCAAAATAATCGGTTGATTTTTAACATTTAATGATCTATACCGTTAATAGCTCTACTGAAGTGAATTAACATTTAGTTCTTTACAGCTGAATCTTTGCTTAAAGCCTGAATGTTAAATGATCTCTATTGAAAGAACATTTGGAAAGAAACACCCTTAGATTGTGAAATTTGTTTAAAGTTATTTTATTGGCATTTAAAAAGTATTGTAAATAAAAGCAGTAATTATATACACAAGCATTTGAGGCAAATTGCCCTTAATGTCCTGCAATATATGATAGTTATAAGTACAGTTAATATTAAATTACAAGAATTTAAATGCAAACTCAAGTTCATTATTTCACATCTTTATTTATATACACGTGACAAATGTAAGAATACAAGAATGGAAAAGCAAAGAAGCAGTAAATCACACAATTACATTTCACACACAAACTAATTTTTATATATTTTATTGAATATTCAGCAATATAACGCAAATACCACTTGCATGAAATCTCTGAAAAAGAAAAAGGGAGAAGAATTCCGAACACTATTAGAAACCAACACCACAGAAAAATCAAAATGTTTATTGATGAGTTAGGGCCTCCTTTGTACTGCAATTCAAAGCTAGGACTTGTTTGCTGGATCATACCTTACCTTACCATTCTCTATTCTTGAAGAATTTGGAATAAATCTCTGTAAGTATTAACTGAACAAGTGACTGGCTTTAAGAGTTGCAACAATATCTGGTGGAGGAGGAAAAAGTAAAAGGAAACATTGGTGGTAGTATGGTAGTATACCCTTTTACATTGGTGGTAGTATACCCTTTTACCAATATTACACAAAGAATAGCAAAAATAGCTTTATTTATAAATTAAATCTTATACATACATGTTTTTCAAGATACATTTTCATGGGCATTCTCACAGCAAAACACCTGAATGTGCAGGCAATTTCAAATACAAAAATGTATTTAATGTATGCATAGTTGAGGTCCCTGCCTCAGCTCACCAATATAAAAATCTCTTTACAAAATGAAATTACAGTACTGTCTCAAAAATAAAAAAGGGGGGAAGCAGCACTATTAAAAAATAATTGCACTGGCTTGTGACTCTGCCTCTAACTTAACCTGAAATGCCTCTTCGGCATTTGCATCAGTGCAGCTGCTCTGCATGTCGGGTTCTTGTTTAATACTGGAACATGAAGATGGGTCATTTTCTTCTTTGATAAACACATCTAAAGGGTTCTCCATAAGGGCTTTGTTGGGAGATGGAGTGCAATCAACAAACGAAGATGTCTGAGGAAATATGGGAAAATTAGAAAATATATACTTTTGTGATCACAAATTTTCAAACATGGCTAAAGACGCTTTACTTATGAGCAGAAACATACTTACATTTTTGTAGTCTTCATAACATGAAGGATGATAAGTCTAAAGTAAAACACAAAAAAACAAAAAAGTGGACTGAGTAGCATCCTACGTCGCCCTCAATCGAATCGCTCTGATAAGCATTTACTCTGCTCCTGAGTTATATTCACAAAAGGACTAAATAGCGACTTAAGTCCTCGGTAGGAAACCATCACTTTTGAAATCTGGGCTACAGTATACCACTACAAGGAAAAGTACATTTTAACAATATTTTAATTACATTTGCTGTAGCAATCCTCAGAATACACTGAAATTAAAATTTAAGAACCTACGTACCTTTTCATCGACACGGATCGCATTTTTCAAATGCCATTCCTCCTCTTCCTCCTCCCAGTACATCTCAAACTGCTCCTGGCAGATTTCACAGGTCTTCAAAGGAAAATTAGATCAGTATTGAAACCTTTGCGCACAACCCCAAGTAACCAGACTTTGTACACTTATAAAACATGAAAAACAGACCCAAACAGGTCAAATGCCACAAAATCACCTTTTTTAGCAGCGTGTGAACTTACCTCACCAACAACATCTGGAGCAGCTTTGACACTCAGGAACTCTTTCTCTTTTGCAGCTTCTTGGGTTTTCTTTTCGACCTCCTCGTGAACCTTCTCAAAGAACTGGCTCTTTGCTCTTTCCTCAAGATCAGCTATTTCTTCAAATTCAATCCAGTCCTGTAAACAAGTTAACCAATAAGTTAATGAAGTCTTTGCAAAACAGCCGTTATCTGCATTGTAATTGTGTCACAGGAGATCATGCTTACCATTAAGCTGTAGTACCACCTCCTGTGTGTGACCTTCTTACTGATGTCCTTCTCTAATCGGTTTTGTCTGTAGTGCCAGTCCAAATGATCCGCATAGACATCAGTCTGAGAGGCAGTGAATCGCATCCCACAGGAATAACACTGTATCCCAGTGTACAGTTTGGTAATAACACTGTCATATCTCCTGTTAAGGAAGAAAATCAGAATTAAGTTAAAACTATGTCAAATACTTATTGTATGGAAATATTTAAAAAGTTTAATCCATGCTACTGTACAACACCACCATTGCTACTACAGATGTATTTTTTATTTTTTTTAGATTTTGCTAATATTTCAGAGAAGCAGAATGTTACAAAGTAAGACCGCACTGTTTCATGTCTTCTATGGCAAACGCAGTAAGGTCCGGAACATTCTGATCGTCATCCTGCTCCTCCTCCTCCTCCTCTTCCACAGCCGGCTGGCTTTGAGGTGGAGTATTCATCCCTGAAATAAAAACACTCCATGTAACAAACAGCAGAATCTACACATTTACAAGCCAAACGCATTAAATACATTACTTGCATTTAATGTACTTTTAATGGAAAAATTAAAGCATGTACCAGTTGTAGTGGAATCCGTTTGAGCAGGCTTTATTATCCCAGTGGAAATGAGCTTCGAAAGAAGATCATTGACATCTACCTGACCAAAGTGACTTTCAGGTGGAAACTGTGAACCTAGCAGAGTTACAAGATAGACCACAAAAATACATTTAAAGGTGATATTCTCAAAACATACGCCATGAATTCAGGCTGCCTCCTGCATGGAAATGGATATATTCATCTTTAAAGTTACCAGACAAATCCCAAAAACAGACACATATGTACTGCGCAGACATAGGATAGTCATACTCATTACCTGTTTGACCGAAAGGCACAGGAGTTTGTTGTAGCTGTCCATAGGGTTGTCCTTGACTGTATGGGGCAGGTATCTGGGGTTTCAGGCCAGGCAGCATGTTCATCTGAAAATTAATTTCATAAGTAATCAAGACTTCCACAGATAAACATCTATAGGAATTATTGATTATATTACTTATTGGGTGTGTATATATAATCACTTATGGTTTTTTAGCTATGAAATTCTCACTTGAAAGAATAATTACATGCTGAATTGTAACTAATGCATGCTTTTGACAATTTCCACTGAGACTGACCATTACAACAAGATTACTGATTTCATACTATCAATGCATATGATTATGATTCAATTTTGCCAAATAAATCTATCATCATTATCCAGTCCACACTTGTATACCTTATCCAACCTATTTAAAGAGCAGGATGTTGCTAAATTTTGTTCCTTTGATACACTGAGTTAGTGGAAAGGTAAGCTGCATTACAAAAAAATAAAATAAAAAATAAGTTTAACTAGACTACACCAGATTAAAAATCAATAGCCTTAACATTAAAAGAGGGACATATGTATGAGCAGGATTAAAAGTCAGATCCACTTACTGGCTGCTGAATGTTTCCACCAGGAACGGCGGTGCCCATGTTTCCAGCTGGAGCACCAGGATTATAGTAAGATGAAACAGGTCTGACAAATGAGTTGGAGAAACCCGGCGTTCCAGCTGCTGCTTGAACATTAAAATTATGTCCTTGTGACAAATTCTGCTGTCCTTGAAAAGACTGCGATGCAGCTCCAAAAACATTTAGAGGCTCTGCAAATCTGTTGTTGGGCATGTTGAAGTTTGACTGTGGCCCAGGATTCGACAGCTGGTTTTGACCCTGGGCATTATCAAACATGGATGGGCAGAGTGGTCTCATCTGGCTTTGCAGATTCAGTGGACCACAATACCTGGGAGCGCCTTGTTGACTGGGCGCACAGTCAAATCTTGCCATGCCTTGCTGCTGTCCATCATATCTCATAGGTCCAATTTGTCCTTGACCATGTTCAAACCGTATAGCACCTGGCTGATTGACAGGACCATCAAACCTCATTCGCCCCTGCTGGCTGGAAGGCCCTTCATATCTAGATGGTCCTTGTTGGGCCTGTGGGCCAGCAAAACGTCCTTCATACCTCCCAGGGCCCTGCTGCATGTGAGGACCTTCAAACCTCAAAGGCCCATCAAACCTATTAGTTTGCATCTGTGGACCATCAAACATGACAGAACTTTGGCCATCAAACCTGGCTGGAGCTTGCTGTCCAACTGGACCTTCAAATCTACCTGCTCCCTGCTGAAGATGTGGCCCGTTAAATCTTCCTAACCCTTGGGGTTCACCAAACCTTTGTGGACCTGGCAATACTGCGGGGGTATCATATCGATTGGAGCTATCAAATCTATCTGGACCTTTATGCATCGGTGCACCATCAAATCGTCCAGAACCTTGTGTCCCATCAAATCTGGAAGAGCCATCAAATCTTCCTGGTCCAGAATTATCAAATCTCCCTTGTAGATGAGGTCTTGCTGGTCCATCTAGTATAGGCTGATTTGTATTTCCCTCAAATATCAAAGGCTGCTGGCCATCAAACCTCTGTGCTATTTTTGGACCATCATATCTTGACAGACCACTCTGTGAATGAGGGCCTTCCAAAACA